CTGTTTATTAAAAAAAACTACTTTTGTTTGGTTTTTATCACACTTTTGAGTGTTAATGTATATACTAATGACTAAATTAAAACAATATGGTTGGTACACTTGTGAATTCCTAAGTGAGAATTTAAGGCATCTTCAGTATTGGAAGTGTGATTTGGTGTTGCAGCTCTGCTTTCAAAAAAGGCTAGAAGAAAGATAGAAATTGCGTACGTTGAATTTGTGTGAGAGGAACAGAAATAGAATTTGCATTCTTTATAGGTGGGAAGTCCTAAATGCACATGGCATTCATTCTTGTATACGTCGATCTTCAAAATAAGTAACTTTAAAATGTAGGCTGTAAAACTTGTGATAAGAGAGCAGGTGTTACTCAAGTGTTTCAGTTGGATGGTTTTAAAGCCTCTGCTAAATCAGTCTGGTTTGTTTCTGAAAAATATTTCATGCTTTCGCTACCAAAATTATATTTTAAACAAACAAACCAGGTTGTGTTTTTGTATCCAATACTAGTTTTGAAAGAATGAGGAACATATTTGGGAAATGACTTGCTGGCAAGTGTAAGAGCGGGGGTTGCAATGGAATTGCTTCTGTGGACATGTTGGTCACCTTGGATTTCCGTTGCTAACACGCTGTTATTGTGGGAGGGATTTGAGCTCTCTTGCTGAGAATTTCACTTTTTTGGAGGGATGAGGGAAGTGACAGGGTTTCTAATCAGGTCACTTCTACACATCTTTGTCCCCAGTAAGCTTTAAACTTTGTATGCTGGTCAGTTCTGTTTCAGATCCCCGCTGCCTGGGTTTGAATAGGGCTCTGTTCCAGCACGTGCTCAGTCTGCACTGGAGTAGAACTCTGTAATAGAAGGTGGACATCATTATCCTTGTTTTTATTCCAAAGCTCAAGCTGAGCTCTGTTCTGGAGACAGCAAATCAAAGTATGGCTAGTGATTTTGAAGTAGCTAGTTCAGTAACCTGAACTAGCAGATTAAACCTCTGTTGTTACACTTCAAGGTGAGTTTTGCCTTTTCTAGTAACTATGAAGTGGTTATGAGTGGTTACTACCTTGTTTTAAATGCACAGGATGGTTCAGGGAAGGGGGTTCATATTAGAATTTACTGCCATTACTATGGTGTGATTTTTGTGGTAGTTCTAAGTCTCAAGCCCTAAAGCATCAAAAAATTACAGAAAACTTGCAAAATAATGCTGGTGAAACAGAAGAATGATTTGCCCTGTGAGCAGTTTGCTTTAGCATGGGAATCTCAATGAGCCCTCTTGATTTTATGCTTGGAAATCAGTCTGGTTTCCAGCCTGCATTGGAAGGATGTGAAAAATCTGAACCCATGTAACAAAAATGCAGGAAAAATGATGTTAGACAAGATATCTCAGGTAACCTCCTATACGTCCTTTTAAACACTAACAAATCTGCCTTCAGCGAAGGTTATTATCATGGGCTACACTTACTGCTTTCATTGAAGAAAGGCTTTACTCCATTCTTACTTTGGAAAGGATATATCCCTGCTGATTGAAACGAGCATCATCTGTGTTGCCCATTTAAACAACAAGGTGACTATCACACAGGCTTTTCTGTATTTCCAGTTGGAATGGGTTCTGCATGATTAAAACCTGACCCAGAGCTTTCTGAACATCCCAAGCATGCGGTGGTTTAGAAAACAAGACTCATTTAGACTTCTCTGTCTAAAGCATTGGTGACACTGTTTGATGCCTGTGACTTTGAACTGGATCTGCAGCTTCAGAGGGGATCCTCCTCAGGTGTTTCCCTTTCACTCAGTTGTGTCTTTTTATCTGACACAGGTGGTGTTGGGCTGTGCTGCTTTGTGTGAAGAAGAAATCGATCAAAGGTACAGAAGATGTGTTGTGCTTTATGTGGAAATGACTTGGCTATCCTCAGTCTGTCTCGCCGAGCAGGACTGAATTAAAAGGCAAGGGTTTGGTTTTGGGGTGGTTTTGGGTTTTTGTGAGTTTTTTGGGGGTGTTTTGGTTTTTGTTTTTCCCCTGGCAAATCACAGACTAAGTTCCCATTACTGCCCTCCACTGGGAACTGGGGAAAGTTGTTTTGTGTTTTTAATATTTACATGGAAATATTTTTGGTGAATAGAGGGAGAAATATGTGGGCATCCACCCATTTGGGTGGCTATAGACAATTTATGAGAATCCTAACATGAGCTGTGCTGGAAAAACCTCAGCTCCCACAGCTGGAATAAAGAGCAGAGAACAAAGTAAATTGGGATGCCAGGATCTGGTTTGATTGGGAATCTGGCTCAGGAGATAACAGATACACCCCATTTATTCAGCAGTGTGTCTTCAGAAGGGGATACCTCTACTTATCTTCATGCTGCTTACCATCAGACTTTTTGTGCGATCGTGGGACGAAGCTCGCTCTGCGTGGCTCTAACCAAAGTCACCTCACCCCAAAGACATGTTTCCAACTTTCAGGACAAAGGCTAAAGGTAGGATTTCATAAACAGGGTCAGTCCAGTTTCACCTTTCAAAGCTGAGCCTAGAAGAAGGGTAAAATTTTTTACTAATCACTGGAGCAACAACATATTAGGGGTGTTGGTGGATTCTCTGCTAATTGAAAGCTTGATCTTGAAATGAGGTAACTTCAGGCTAAGCCAGAGCAGAATAGCTCAATGAATGAAATGCTTGGTAAAATTCCGTCATCTGTTCTGAGTCATCAAATTAAGTAACTGTAATGGTCTCCCTTATGCCTCCAAAATAAATGACTTGTTTTTCAAAATAAGAAGATGCTGTTTGAAATACTGTTTTGTGGGGCAGTATAACTTACTGCTCTTCACTGTTGCATAAAAAAGTGAAGATGAAGTGAGCAAAAATGGGGATTATAAATTTGGACAATATTAAAATGGAGAAAATTGCTTATTTTAGTTCTCTAACCCTTACTTTATGTTGATTCTCCTATGCAGCTGCTTTAAGGGACAGCTGCTGCATAGACAGAAAAAGTAAACTTGTGCTTCGAGGCTCTTGCTTTCACATCAGCAGCTCTCTCGTGTACCATAACGTTCCAGCTCAACAAAGGATGCCCGAAAGGGTGAGGCTGTCCCCCCGCCCCCACCCCCGTGGTACGGCGACGGGCGGGGGCCAGGAGGCGCCTGCCCCCGCGGCCGC